TGGCGGAAGTGACGGCCTCCCTCCCACCCCCGTCAGGAAAACTGCAGCATCCGGCATGCCTTGCAGCCGAGGGGGACTCCATTTCCCATCATGCCACACGGCGCCCGGCATGCCGCGGAACCTCCAGCCCCGCAATGGTGACCTGTTACCGGCATGCCTTGCGGCAAGCTCAACTACAAGTCCCGGCATGCCCCGCGGCTGCATCTGCTCACAGGCATTGGCGACTACCGCTCCCGGCATGCCCCGCGACGCCCTGGCCTGCGTGCACGTGGGTGGGCGGCACGAGGGTCCCCGTGAAGGCCAAGGGCGCGTGTGGCCGCCCCTGGCCCAGGCACCCCCGACCTGCTGGGAGCCGCGTGCCAGGCTGCGGCCTAGTGCCCACGCTCCAGGCAGGAGCACGCGGAGCGTCCTGGATGCATCCCGCAGCCGAGGGCCCGTCTCTCTCCCTGACTCGAGGCCTCTCTGCTGCCTCCCTCGGGTGGAGCCTGCAAGGGGAAGCCCACGTTTGTGTCCTGTAGAGGAGAATCCATTTTTAAACCTTGTTCGTGACTGTTTTATATATCCCTGCTTTTGGGTGGCGACTGGCAGGGTGAGAAACGCCGAGGTAGATGGTGATGAGCAGCGTCGTCGGGTGACCCCCCTCGCTGCTGTGCTGCCAGGCATTTGGCTCTAAAGTTTGGATGAGGCGAGAACGAACGAGGGGTGCGACTGCGCCCCGGAGCCACCCCAATTGCCGTCAAAGACATCCCTTCCCGAATCACACTTGATCTCCAGTAACTGACTGGAGAAAAGGGAGGGACGTTCTCGAGAGTGAAGGCAGGGTGGATATGCAGCTCCTCGAATGCCAAGCACCACTGCTCTGTCAGGCCTCAGGATTTCCTAATTTCACCTTCATGTCACTGTTCCTCTAGTCCCGTCTATTTGGTGAAATTAGTTCATTTTATTGTGCTGGCAACCCTTCTTCTTTTCCTCAGATGTGGGCTTTTAAGCACCCATGGAAACATGGGCTCACTTTAGTAGGATTAAGCTTCTGTCCTCTTTTGTTTCTAACTTTAATGGGATTAAGCTTCCTGTCCCCTTTTGTTTCTAATGCAAACCCCAGGTTGGGTAACCCTATAAGAAGACAAGCTGCCTTTGGGCACTCTACCCAGCTTGCTGTTGGAGTTGTACCTAGACAGAAAATGTATATGCATCATTTAGATTTTAATATTCTGGCCAATTACTGCTTTGCCTCCATCAATCCCTTTCTTGTTTTCTTTTCCTAGGCAATGAGCATTCCCATCCCCAGTGGATCTAGATGCCCTTTTTGAAAGCTGCCTCGTAGACAAATGTCTTCTGCTGTGCAAAACCATTCGACACTAAACGACTGCAGCAGAATGAAAGAATTCGAAGTCAGAATCTAGTCTCTGTCCTTCCTTGCAACTTCCAGCTGGGAAACAAGGTCTCCTCTGGCTAATTAACTGCACAGGTAAACTCCAGGAGGCAATGCTCACCCATTTCTCTTCTGGCAGAAAAATAAGTACCATTAGGAGTTACAGTAGGCTTTCCCTCTCCCATCAGCTGCACACAGAGGAGGAGGAGGAAAAACACACCAGAAAAATGTATGCGCCTGAAATGGAAAACAATAAAACGGGGAGGGGAAGACATGTGATTGGCAAACAAACAAAGGGTAGTAAAAATGATTGTAATCTGCAGGAGAGGGGATGCTGCCTTTTCACCTCTGGGCCGGGTGAGTGATGTGTGGAATGTTTTACCCAGGGAGCTGCTTGAATGGAAGTCAAACCCGGTGTCACGTGGCTCGGGATTTCAGAATACAGTAAGGCAGGGTTAGGAAGGATACAGAGAGAGAGAGGCTGCGAGGAGCGATGACAGAATTGCGCAGCTGGGTAGGGCACCTTGCCACATTAAATGCAAGAGAGCAGCAACATGATTCAGATCTTGTCCCGTGACAGCATGTGACAGCCACCGATCAGGTTGGGACAGGTAAACTGCATTGGCTTCTCTCGCCCAGGGGTAACATTATTAACAAGAGAAAGCATTTCCAAAGGTTTTTGTTTCCCAAACCCATTTTTAAACATTATTTTTGGGCAGAAAGATCCTCAAGCTTCCAACAACCTGCTAAATCCACCAGCTTCCATGTGCACCTGAAACTCCCAGACCCTGCTAGAGGTAGCAGCTTCAGCTGTTGTGGCTGGTTGCAGAATCTTGAACAACTTTATCTGAGCTCACACATGACAAAATTGAGATTTGAGAACCCATCTCAGGGGAGACAGTAAAGCCCCATCGTTCTCTTACGTTAGTAAGCAGTTATAGCTGAAGTCTAATTTGAAGGCTTTGATAATCCTAGCCATTTAGAATAAATTAATCAACAGATTCATAATGGGCCTTTCAAGACATGGACTTGGGCCCCCTAAAGGAGGCAGGCAGCTTGATTCAAGGCAAGGGCTTGGCTTTGCAAGTCACTGCCATCCTATCTTGATGGCAGATCTTGTCAGATTCTTTAGATTAAAGAGTTTTGGGGCAGGTTGGTGCCTGGCTGGGAAATGTGTGCAGAAATTCCCCAGCGCTGCAAGAAGCGCTCCTGGCCATTTAGTATGTGCTTTGTTCCTTCGGCATCAGACTTTAACCCGGTGACCTCGCCTGGGGTGCAGGAAGCCTCCTGGGAGAGTGCTCCTCTTGAGGATGGTGTTTCTAGAGGAGACTCTGGGCCATGTGACAGTCCTGCACAATCGCATGACAGCAGCTACTGGAGGGGGAATGTTAGTCTTGGTATCTCAGTCACTTTTCACCCCAGGTAAATAACTCTCTGGTTGGCCCATCTTTCTCCTTCCTTTTTAAGTGGCGACAACACCCCTCCTTACTTATCCCAAACAACAGCTGTTTTTGTGGTGCCCTAGCAGTCAGGGAAGATCTCACACACCTGTAAGGTACCTCAAGCTCTGGTTTGTAAGGGACCTATAGTAACATACCAAATGTTTTGCTGGATGGAGGAGAGGGATCAAGGGAGATAGGAGTGGGAAGGGGATGTTAGCAGCTTCCCTGCCCAGTTTTGCTGAATCTTTTCTGGGTGTCATCAGCAATTCCATCAGGAAAAGGGTTGGTTTTCTCTGTGCCAAAACAAACACCGGGCAGGAAGGGACAAATTACAGTCATGTTTGTGCTTTCTGTCTTAGCTGCCTGATTTATAGGCTTTGATTCAGCGATTAGAGATGAAAGAAAACATTCCAGAGACCAAGACCTGCACATTGCTGGGGTCTCGTGTCTGCCTTTCTGTATGAGTTACTGCAATGGGGATGGGAAACAAAAGAGGAAAATTACAGGGGGCATGCTGGTCACCACACGCTGCCTTCTCTCTCGGTATTTACTGAGCGCAATCTGTGCGCTCGGCACTGTACAGACCAGGGGAAAACAGTCCCTGCCCTAAGGTGCTGGCTGTCGAGCCAGACAAATGATAACATTTCAGACTCCTGTTTGTCTCTGAGAACAGTAACAAGGAATGTGGACTAGAGCATGAGTTTATTGCTTTGTTTTGTAGGTAAATAAGTGTGGAAGAACTCTGCTGTCTGCCAGATGATGATGATGATTTATTATGTGCATTACCATGGGGCTTTGGGGCACCGGCCATGGCCCAGGGACCCACTGTGCTAGGGCTGCACAAAGAGAGCAAAGAGGCAGGTCCTGCCCAAGCAGCTTAGTCTAAGAAGGGACAGCAGATGATGAATGCAAACAGATGGGGGAGCACGAGGAAACGATGAGCCAGTGCTGGGCAGCACGAGAAGCTGTGGTCTTAAGGCACCAGTAGCATAGTGCAAGATTCTTGTCATCATCCTGGAGGAGGGCGGTGTAAGGAGGGGTCTGACTGAGGATAATGAGGTGGCTTCACAGATGCAGTGGGGACCTCCCAAGCATGAGCAGCTGCATGGAGATGTCATGTAGAAAGCACTGGCAAACTTGAAACTTGGCCTGGATGCGAGGGCTTACAAAGAGGTCCAAGTCAAAGATAACGCCCAGGTTATGGGCTTGGTGATGGGCAGGAGAGTGGTTTTGTCGCAGCTATGGAGAGGAGGCTTTGTGGGATGAAACTAGAGCTCTGTTGTAGCCATAGCAAGCTTGGGCTGTTGGCCAGGCATCCACGTGGAAACGTGAGAACGATAAGCCAAGCATTTAGCTTGGTCGACAGGAGACCGTCGAAAGGACGAGGGATGAGGTGTCCACATGGATATGGCGGCTTCGCTCGTGTTTGTGGGTGAGCCAAGCCAGGGATGAAGGGGAGGGGGCAAAGAGAAGGGGACCTAGTACAGGCCCCTGGGGGATGCTGTAGGAGGCTGGGAGGAGGGCAAGGGAACTCCTCTGAATGGTAAATGTAAGAAGCAGTTGGGGGAAGAGAACCAGGAGCAGACAGTTGTGTAAGTCAACATTTCAAGGACGGCAACGTGGCTGACTGCTGAAGGCAGCTGAGAAGTCAAGGAGGAGGAGGATAGAGGACTGGTTCAGAGACACGGCTCAAAAGACGTCACTGAAAGCTTTGCTGGTTGGCTGTAGAGACAGCAAATGGTGGATGGGTGCTGCACCAGAAAAGAAAGGTCAGCATGGAAGAAGGGCATAGGCAGGCTCACGGAGATAGCAGTTTTATGAATCTATATGTCACTCAGGGCGATAGAGAATTGTAGTTGCGGGACACTCCCCCACCCGCACTGCGACAAGGAAGCTCGTGATTTATCCACAGTGAAACCATGGACAATGTGTGCAGCCACGTGTAACTGCTATCTATGGCTTACGAGGGCAGAAGCAGAAACTGCTCCCGAGCCCAGAGTGTAAGTGCTCTGTGCCAGCAGAAAGCAAAGAGTAACTATTCAGTATCAGGGCTGTGTATGCTTTGTGAAGCCCAAGGCCATACGATGCACCATCAAGGTGAGCGACTGCCCTTGGACAGATCTAGTGTTGAATCTCTGCGTTACCTGCATGAGGGTAGTTTACCCCCCCCGGGGGGGGGATACCAAAGGATAGTAAATATGCACGGTAGGGTCAGGCATCGCGGTGATGAGTAGTATAACTGGTCTAAAGGAACAGGCAGGTTCTGGAGCAGAGGGCGCTGGAGATGCGTCCGCAGTCCGTGTGAATGAGACTCGGCCTGGGTTCTCAGGCTAAATGTCTTTACTTCCACTCCTCCTCCTGTCTTAATCAGTTCATCTATACAGTGCCTTTGTTTTCTATTTCTTTGATTTTTTTGGGGCCTGACTCACTTCCTTATTCAGAACCATTAAAACTAGGCAAGTTAAACTAGTCCCTATGCCAGCTCTCAAGGCAGAGCTGCTGCTGCTGTCTGAGCCAGACAAGACAGCAGTACCATTTGATTTGGGAGGCACCAATAGAGCTATTTCCTTACCTGCAGTAGCAAAAGATGGTCTTCTTTCTGACCAGAAAGTAACCTAGAAGATCTGTTGCAAAGATAGGTGGGATTGTCAAGGGGCTAAACACCCAACTGCAACTGCATTTAAATAAGTCTTCGTGCCCAGCACCTTTGGATTGCTTTGGAAATCCCAGCAGTTTCGCAGTTCTGGCATTACTCTGCTCGCCCTCCCTGCATTACATGCAACATCAGCTAGCTTCACAACTAGCCTTAGCACTTCTTGTGAGTTGTGGGCTTCAGTGGTGAGGCTAAAGGTACGAGCCGCATGGCCTGCTGCTCACCTTGTTATATGGTTGATTATATTTAATATAATGACTAATTACAAAAAAAAATCCCTTTTGCAAGAGTTTGCATGAATAGAAGTGATGGACTGGAACCTCAGGCTCCGACTCCTCTCATTTCTGCATTGAGCTTTGAAACCATCGTCTTTGGCATCACTTCAGCATGCTGGACAGAAGCAGCATCAAAAACGCCCCCCCCGTCACAAGGCTGCTGTGTACTCCAGCAAAGCTATGCACAGACCTTCATTGGAAAAAACCCAAGTGGCCAAACATGTCATTCTGCGGTTTTCCACGTGACCACGGTTTGCTTTGTTTTTCTCCTTTGCTGGCGTTATGGCACCTAGGCACTTTGGAGATCTGTGAGATGACAACAATCGTATTGCGCATACGCAAAAGGGCTGGAAACGAACCAGCGATAACGTGTTCCTGCCGGGACTCGAAGCGAGCGAACACCCGGAGACCCCAAAGCAGCACTTCTGTTGTTCGGCTAAAGGAGGCTGCCCCGAAACTAGACCCACCGTTTCATCCGCAATCTACTGAAACAGCGCAGTCGCTCTGGACTCCTCAGCTGCGTTTTTGATTTGTTACAGGCTGGAACCGGCCTAGAAACCCGAACACGTCAGCACTTTGGATCGGGCATTCGTGGCTCTGCTTGTTACCGCTTGAACCTTGCTTTAACTTCGATGGCAAAGAAAGGGAAAAGCGGTCGGGCTGGTCCTCTGCTCATGTGGTCAGACTAGCTCAACCGGTAACTGAAGAGACATGCCTTTCCTCTGAAAGGGCAAGATGGGTCGTCCCCCACCCTCGCTTCCCTTCCCTACAACGTTTCCCTTCGCTTACTGAACAAACACCAGATCGGTCGGGCAGGGGCAAAACTTGCGCAGCGCGAGGCTCGAGACCAGACGGGCCGGGGCTTTCCAGCCTGGAGAAGGTGACTGGGGGGACCAACAAAACAGCCATGGCGTGGGGAGAGCGGACTGCGGTTTCGTATTTGCCACCTCTCGCAGGGCCGGCCGCACACGGGAAGCTGGTTGAAAGCCGGCAAAAGGAGGCTCTCTTCCGCACAGCGTCTGGTTCGCGGTGGAGCTCGTTGCCAGATGTTAGTGGGGACGTAACCAGACCGAGACAGGAATAGCCCCGGGGTGTTCGGCCCCAGGTCTGGCCACCGCGCCTCTGCTGCCAGATGTCCAGACCTGTGGGGCCCGATCCTGGTGCACGGGGCTGGGCTGAGCAGGGATGGGAGTGACGCTCCGGAGCCTGGTTCTGCTCTGTGGGCCAGGTGGGGCTCCAGGGCCCGATCCTGGTATGCTGGGCTAGGCAGGGCCCGATCCTGGTGCACAGGGCCCAATTCTGGTATGATGGGTAGGGCCTTTGGGCCGGATCCTGGTGCACAGGGCCCAATTCTGGTATGCTGGGCAGGGCCTTTGGGCCGGATCCTGGTACACAGGGCCTGATCCTGTTATGCTGGGCTGGGCAGGGCCCGATCCTGGTGCAGAGGGCCCAATTCTGGTATGATGGGTAGGGCCTTTGGGCCCGATCCTGGTATGCTGGGCTGGGCAGGGCCCGATCCTGGTGCACAGAGCCCAATACTGGTATGCTAGGCAGGACCCTAGGGCCCGATCCTGGTATGTTGGGCTGGGCAGGGCCCCAGGGCCCGATCCTGGCACGTGGGAGGAGGTGGGCGGGGCCCCAGGGCGGCCGGGAGTGAGGCAAGATGGCGGCGGCGGAGCCGGCAAGAGGGACCTCGGGAGTGGCATACTTGGTCGGGTCGGAAGGGACCTGAGATCGTGAAGTCCGACCCCTGCCATGGCAGGAAGGGATGCTGGGGTCAAACGACCCCGGCCACATGTTCAGCCTCCTTTTGAAGCCCCCCAGGGTAGGAGCCAGCACCACGTCCCTTGGAAGCTGGCTCCAGATCCTAGCCGCCCTGACTGTGAAGTCGCGTCTCCTGATGTCTAGTCTGAATCGACCCTCTGCCAGCTTGTGGCCGGTATTTCTAGTCACTCCCGGTAGCGCTGGGGGGAACGGGGACTCCCCCAGTGCCTGCTGGTCCCCTCTGACTAGTTTATAGACGGCCACTAGATCCCCCTCAGCCTTCTCTTGTGGAGGCTGAACAGGTTCAGGTCCCGTCGCCTCTCCTCGTAGGGCCTGCCCTGCTGCCCCTGATCATGCGGGTGGCCTCCTCTGGCCCCTCTCCATGCTGTCCACATCCCTCCTGAAGTGCGGCACCCAGACCTGGACGCAGTACTCCAGCTGCGGCCTGACCAGTGTCGCATAGAGTGGGAGGATCACCTCCTGGGCCCTGCTCGAGATGCATCTGTGGATGCACGACAAAGTGCGGTTGGCCTTCCTGACCGCGTCCCCACGCTGTCGGCCCATGTTCATTTTGGCATCAGTAATGACTCCAGGATCCTTTTCTGCCTCTGCACTGCCGAGAAGGGAGTTCCCCAGCCTGTAGGTATGCTGCTGGGTCTTCCTCCCCAGGTGCAGCACCTTGCACTTGTCAGTGTTGAACCCATCCTGTTCTCATCCCCCCACCCCTGTAACCTGCCTAGGTCCAATTGCAACCTATTCCTCCCTTCTAGCGTGCCCACTTCCCCCCACATCTTAGTGTCATCCGTGAATTTGAACAGGGTGCTTTTTACCCCCTCGTCCAAGTCACTGATGAAGATGTTGAACAGCACAGGCCTGAGGACCAAGCCCTGCCCACATCTCTCCAGGTTGAATAGGACCCGTCCACCACCACCCTCTGGGTGCGGCCCTCCAGCCAATTGGCAACCCATCTATGTGTGTAGGTGTCAACACCACAGTCGCCTAGTTTTTTTAACGAGAATGGGGTAAGAGACCATGTCAAAGGCCTTCCTAAAGTCCAGAAAGACTACGTCCACCATGACGCCTGTATCCGAGGATTTTGTGACCTGGTCGTAGAAGGCCACCAGGTTGGTCTGACAGGACCTGCCTCTAATGAACCCGCGTTGATTGCCCCTAAGCAGAATCTCCCCTGCTGGTCCTTTGCAGATTTGCTCTTGGATAATTTTCTCAAAGAACTTCCCCAGGACCAAGGTAAGACTAACGGGCCTATAGTTTCCTGTGTCCTCCCTTTTTTGAAAATGGGGACCACACTGGCCCTTTTCCAGTCCTCTGGCACCTCACCAGAGCACTACGAGTGCTCATAAGGTGTTCAAGATGAGGCTAGACAAGCATCTTACAGAGCTCGTCTGACCCCAATAACTTCCTGCCCACAGCAGGGGACCAGGCTTGATGATGTAGCAGGTCCCTTCTGGTCGTTTGATTCTATGATTTGTTGCCAGACTTCCATGGTCTTGGGTCCCAGATCCTTGATGTACCCATGCCTGGCACCCCGAGTCTCCAACTGAGGGTAGGGCCCCCATGTACTAAGCACTGTGCACATGTGGAAAGATACAGGCCCTGCCCTACGTACCTTTTAGTCTAAATGGTTGTGAGAGGAAGCAGGCACCTGAAGGCGAGCATCCTAGGTCACGCAGCAGGTAAATACTTGGCAGAGCCAGCAGCAGTAGAACCTCAGTCGCCTGCCTTCTGCCCCAGTTTGCTAGACAATCCCGTGTTCCCTAGTTCAAGTGCCTGTCACGTTCCTGGAGGAGTCTGGTGGAGTCCACAGGCACAAGCAGAACTAGCTGTCCTGGCCAAACTCCGCAGCTCAGGTCCTCATTTAAAAAAAACAACAGAGAAACCCAAGAGCAGGCTGCTTGTGAGTGCCTTGCTCGCTCCCTACCCTTTGTAATAGTGCTAATGCTTTGCCTACCCTTAAGCACTTTGCCATTTTAACTGGGGCATTATAGTTTATTTTTGGACACAGTAATGCTGTGATAGAAATGCTTATACTGCTGCTTTGCTTTCTGAGCTAAATAACAATAATATAGCGGTACAGCTCCAGGACTGGTAATACTAAAGCCGAGCCTGCACTAAGCCTTCTGCTGAAGGCCGCAGCTGGAGTACTGAGTCCAGTTTTGGGCCCCTAAATTGAAAAAGGATGTGGAGAAGCTTGAGAGAGTGCAGAGGAGAGCCACGCACATGATCAGAGATCAGGAGAACAGACCTTATGATGAGAGGCTGAGATCCATGGGACTCTTCAGCCTGGAAAAGCGCAGGCTCAGGGGCAATCTGGTGGCCACCTATAAGTTTATTGGGTGTACATCAGGATCTGGGGGAACGTCTGTTCACCAGAGCCCCCAAGGGATGACAAGATCGAACGGTCACAAACTCTGTCGCAACCGATTCAGGCTGGACATAAGGAAGAACTTCTTTACTGTCCGAGCCCCCAAGGTCTGGAATAGACTGCCACCGGAGGTGGTTCAAGCACCCACTTTGAACGCCTTCAAGACACATTTGGATGTTTATCTTGCTGGGATCCTATGATCCCTGCTGAGTTCCTGCCCCTGGGGCAGGGGGCTGGACTTGATGATCCTTTAGATTCCCTTCCAGCCCAAAAGTCCATGAAATCTATGATACAGTTTACGTCCATGTAGGGTTTACGTATGTGTGCGTGCATTTATTCTAAATGAAAATGTTATACCAGCAAAACCCCTAGGCTTGATGTAATTAGCAGCACAAAAAGAGCATTTAAGCATACAGTTAATTTTGCTCAAGGAAGCTGCAGTTACTTGTCAAGGCTGCTCTGCCCCAGGGCAGGGTTTGCTAGTATAGCCAGACCAGTAGACATCTTCTAGAGTGTGCACAAGCCTGTGCCTACACTAAAGTCTATGGCATAGCTCTGCTGGCAGGAATCGCGCTGTTTATTGGCACAGCAAAGCTTTTAAATGTAGATTAGGCCTTAGTTTATTGACAAAAGCTAGTTCTAGCCCTGTTAGTACTGTGTAATCAATACAGGTATTGGAGAGCAATATGGAGACGGTCAGATCCAGGGACTTTAGGCTTGTTTAAAATATATCACAGTGACTGATCAATTGTTCTGCTTTTAGATCTCTGAATTGCTTTTAACTGCAGATGTCAGGGGTTCAGCATGGAATGTTCCTCCCAATCCTCTGTAATTGCTTGGGCAATTGCTAATTGCTGCCTGCTCTAGCCCTGGGCCACATGTTATTTGTACAGGATTGCTGAACTCACTGAAGTGCTATCGCAGGGTGATTGCATAAACTCTAGGAGGCCTCTGTTAGGAGATTGTTGAACTGTGCTTCCTGGTCTCCCGCTAGCCAGGTGTTGGGCAGTCTGAATATTTGAAGCGTGTAGGTTGCAATCTAGATTATTTTAGCCCCTTTTTTTTTTTTTTTTTTTTTTTTTTGGTAATGTTGCATCACTGATTGCATAATGGGAACAGCAGCTAAGACATTGGACTCGCCCCATGGCAAAAGTCCACTGGGTCATGAGAACTGGATGAAAAGAGGGAGATCTGCAGATTCAGGAGCTGCTTTTGCACACAAAATCTCTGAGCTGGCTTGTCTGTCTCTCTCCCAAGACTGGCTCTGCAGCAGTGGACGGCACGCTTCAAAAGTCCCGGGGTGAAGCACAGCCGTTTTTGTCTGTCCCTTTTGAATATTAAATGCTGTCATTTGCTCTACAGTCGAAATGTACTAAACCTAAGGATGCAAGTTACAGTAGCGTCTCTGTGCTGCGGTTGCAAAAGTCTTTAAATGCCTTACCCTAGTTTTCGATGTAGCTCACAAGTAGAATGAAAAGGGTGGAGGAGTCGATCCTCCACCCATGTTGAACAGCTGTGTTGAACAGCCAGTGGGAAGCAGGGGAAGGAGTCAAGGTACCTTTTTATCATTATAATCTGTTTTAGCTGTAAACAGCTCTCTTCTGCCAGCCTGCTCCTCTCCAGTACCTGCTTCCTCACCGTGGTCACGCTGCTGTTTCGGGCAGTTAATATCCTCCCCACCATTTGCATTTCTGCTTGTCTTAAACACCTGTGTTACAGGAGTGGCCGTCACTCTTTAACATAGATACTCTTACAACCCCTCCCGCAAGGCAGGTATTATCCCTCCCATACAGATGGGAAATTGAGATATGCAGAGGCAAAGGCCCCAGTATTAGGGGTCCAGTTCCCCCTGATTTCTAAGTAGGAGTTGGTGTCAAGGGACCTTTGTGTATCTGGATCCAGGTGACTTGCCGAGTGTTGACTGGAAGCCAATGGAAGGGAATTAGCTTCGGCTTTGGAGGGCCAGGGTTAACATGCTGACCACTGAGCCATCCTCAAGGAGTAAGAGCGTTTGCAACAACTTATTCTGTCCCTTTGTAAAGAGACCCTACAAATCACAAAGCTGCCTTCTCTGACGGTTTTTATCTGATGCTATTACAAGCAGTACTTGGAAGTCCTATAAATGAAGGTGATCAAAGGAGAAGATGCTGTGCTGTGAATCTGACAGAGCTTTGTTGTACGCTCACTTCCCCTTGGTGCGGCCCTTTGACATATGCAGGGGAGGAGAGGGAAGTTCCGCATGGAAAAGCCTGACTCTAAAACCACAAGAAATGTCAGGGTGCTCGGACGCGGGTGGAGGAGCTGGGAAGTTTATTTCCTATATGTCTGTGCAAACAGAGTGGGTTTGAAGTCAATGCTGAGTCGGTCTCTCTGGGAAGAGTGGCCCCAGTAATGAGAACCCTTGGGCATGGCCTCTTAAGGGATAGGCTGAGGATGAGGGTGTTTTGCCCTCTTCCTTCACAGGGCTGGCAGACATGACTTCATGAAATCCACTCAATTCAGCTTATTAATGGAAAGAGCCTAGGCAGGCTGGGCAGTCTTGCCGCAGCTGTATCCTACATGAAGTTGTATTCAAACCAAACCAAAATCAGTGGTGCCCTAAGTGCCACCTTCTGTTTGTGGATTGAAAACCGTGAAGCTAATGAGTGGCCTGTTAGACACTTTCTGGACCAGGACGGAAGCATAGTTTCTGTCCTGGAAAGGCAAGGATCCCAGCATCGTTAAAAAGCTATTGCATGGCTGATTGTGCCACAGAGCTGAGGGGCTGCAGCTTCCTGTTTCCATGGCATGGGCAGCGAGGAATAGGTTAAAGCTGGGGTTTTAAAATCCTCCATGTATCCCAATGCATTTGTCTCCTGCAGACTCAAAGATGGCTGGGACCAGAGCACTGCGAGGGCCAGCAGCAGGGAGCAAAGGCTGGACTCCTGCTCTTGTTTGCCAGCAGACGTGTTTTCAGATGAACAGTTAATGACCCCCGGAGAAGGGTCCTGTTGCATTTCAACAAGTTTCAGGTAATGAAGAGCCTGCTGGGCCCATGTAAGATGAACTCTGCCTGCCTGGGTGGCTCCTGTCCTTGTTCTCTGGCCTTGTTCAGAACTTGCAGGTCATTCTTTCACAATAGTGCTGCTGCCTGTAACGTGTTATTACTCCGACACCAGGGATTGGGGATGAAAGCCTCTGCACCTCTCCTCAAGCTAACCGTCACGTGTCCCGTCTGATCCAATGATCTAATTAGCCAAAGAGCTTAGTGTCACTTCTGAGCTTGTGTACGGAGTTTATCTTTGGCTTAGTGGGTTGGTGAGAGCTGTTCCCAGCCCCCTGGATGCAGACTGGTATGACAAGCTTGTGTAATGGGAACTCTGGCTTCACCCAGGAGTCCCTGTACCGTGTCCTTGTAAGGACATGCTGCATGCACTGTTTGCCACGGTCCCCAGTCCTCGTTGCATGGGTTGGGGTAGGTACATCGACTTGTGTCCCTCCCCCACAGCTTATCTGAATTGCCCGAGAGCAGAGGGGCTCGCTGTCTGCCCCTGCGCTGCTCTCAGGGCTAGTGATGGTAGAGGCTGCCTCAGGAATAGGAAACAAGGGCAAACGGTTTCCAAGGTGCCCCCATACAACAGTAGACATACATTAAAAGTGAGGGCAAGTTGGATCTGGGAGTACAGCAGCTTTCCTTGATCACCTCTGCCCTTGTTTGGGGGAACAACTGACCTAGAGTTTGATGTCAGAGGGCAATTTAAACACTCCTCTCTCAAGCACCTGTTGTGACTTACAGCAGGGTCAGGGCATGAGTGTGTTGAGTCGATGGCCTGTGCGAGGCCTGGTTGTGGTTCAGGCCTCCATCTCCCAGTCTTCTCTTTCTAGCAGCACTGGTGGTACGCTCCAGCACTAGTAAGTGCTTTGCCATTCGGGTGCTGCTGTGTACAGGTGTTGATGGCGCTTGATGTTATTTTATTGCCTATACATTAAGTATGAAGACATCCTGCTCCAGCAGGGAAAGGATTCTGGTTGTTAAAGCGCTATTGCTGAGGGAAAGCTGAGTCCTGGCACCAGGCAAAATGCTCGCTTATTTGTGTGTGTTCCCATTTTTGTTTAATTAAAAAATGTATTAAGAGCTTCATTAACTTATTCTAGCCTCTTAGCTCCTCCTGCAGTGCAGTCTTAATACTGAACCTCGAATATTGCCCAGAGCTTTTTCATTTCCCTGTAGGGGCTGTAGCTTTATGAAGTTTCCTGGAAAACTAACCGATCTCTTGTACAAATAGTGTCTGTTTTTGCATTTGCCCCAGTATGACAAGGTAAGAACTGTCTGGCTCCATTGCTGGGTGTCTAGACTAGGGAGTCAGTTTTAGAAAGGTGATGTCTGGTCACTTCTTGAATGCAAGTCCACTTAGGTCAAAGGGCTGATCATGGTGAAGGATGGCTACACATGTCCACATATAACTTCCTTTTTATTCTTTATTCGTCTTGCATACAACTTTACTTTACATGTTTTTTTAGCAAGTTCATCCAGCAATTTTGTTAGAGAAAGCGTCGATGCATTTCGGACCCAAGAGCGGAAGGATGAGTGAGCTGTGCCGGTCTAGCCTTCTGCCTGCTGTTTACAAAAGCAGAGTGTTCCTAAAAGGCAGTATTTACTCCAGCCTCTGTGGATTCCACTGTCTACCCCTGGTTTTTTGGGATTGGGTGGATTGAAAAAATAAATTATCTTTGAAAGTAACGTCTGGTAGAAATCCCATGGCTCTGCAAGCAGGGCTCTGACAGAGCTGGAAGGTTGTTCTGGATAACGACATGTAACCTGGCAATCCCCAGCGGCCCACTCTATTATCGCGGTGTTGCTTGGCTTTTGTTGAAGTCTAAGACTGCAAATGTCCATATTGCGCTTGCTCCAGGCAGCACAAGCCACCTATTAATAAGGTTTGTTATGGACCTGGACAGAACGGGGGACTCACCCAGGGCAAAGTGCTGAGGGCTGCAGAAGCTGGCTACAATGTGTGACTGGAACTCAATGATTTGCCTGGCATTGGGATCACAAACACGGTATGTTTGGTATGACATGTGGTATCCAAGTGGAAAGATCTGGATTTTTGGCAGCAGATTCGGGCAGTCTGGGGGAAGAGGAGGGGCATTAACTACTGCTCTGTGTCTGTGGGAGGAAAGAGGGATTGCAAAGGGAAACAGGTGTTTCTCTGCTGAACTGAATTTACAGTCCCTGTGTATCTTCTCTTCTCCTGCAGGCTCACGGGCTGTGGGGGAAACTTTCAGGCAGCAGGGAGTGGGCCTCACCTTCTTGGTCTACACATTTGGTTGTGGATGCTTTAGAAAGCCCTGTGCCCAAAGGCACCTAGAGTCCTGATCTCTCTCAAGCTCATTGTTCGCTCACTTACTCTTAGGGGGCTGCACTTAACAGGCCTGTTGGCTGGTGATCTTTGCTGCTGGAGTTCTGTTTCTGGCTTCTGAATCAGCCAGTGCTGGGGTACTGGGAAGTGTGTCCAGCCCTTGCAGAAGGAGCACAGCCAGAGAGCTTCCATCAGCAGATGCCCCTTGGCCTCTAAGGTTTGGTCTGTGCTAGAAACTTTTGTTAAGATAGCAATGTCGATTAGGAGTGTGGCTTTCTAAGAGAGATTCCTGCACCCGCAAAATACTTATATGCAGTCCATGCCATCAAGAAATGGCACAGGTATCTGTAATCGTACACCTAACAGACTGTGCTGTCAAAACCTCTTGTAGACATGGGCACGCTGGGGGAAGGACTCGTGCTGGTAATCTCTTGTCCTGCAGTGGTTGATTGCTGGTCATTCCAGCTTTCCAGCCATGAGCTGGGCGGTAGGGCTCCACATGAATTAGGGGAAGAAGCCAGGAGTGTGTCCCTAAGGAGAAGGAAACTAGTATCAGCGACTGAGGTGCTTCAGAGGTGAGTCTTTAAAATTAAGATCAAACAGTAACATTTAGCTTGGGTGCTCTCTCTGGCTGCTGTGTGTTCACAGCTTCCTACTTAGAATTTCAGACTAGGCCACATTCAATGCTGGTGAACAGGCTGCTTCGGAGTGCAGGCAGGAGTTGCATCGGCTTATGACATTGGCAGAGTTCACCTCTCTCTCTGTTTGTGTCTCTCTCCTTTATTGCTTTGTGTGGGAAGAGGGCCACAAGCAGCCTATTAATGCAGCATGCTGAGAAACAAACTGGTAACATTGCCCCCACGAACACATGCAGCATCAGTTGCAAGCAAGGAAGATGGGACAGAATTCTTTATGGATGGGCAAAATGGGAAATACAAACAGGAGAGAGCCAGGAAAAGATGTCTCTGCAAGCAAGAGAGTCGGTCTTGCTGTGTGGGGTTACAAAAATGCTTGCTCTTCTGGTTTTTCTGGCCTAGATTGGTCACAGTCTTGAATCAGTGTCCTGTGTGGTGTGTTCCATATGCCAGGCTCTGCAGCGAGGGCTCATATCCTTATGCTTTGCTTGATGGATGGTAACTCATGACTAAATACTGCTGTGTTGTACTGCTGCGTTAGCACGTGCACGAATACATCAGGAGTTGGACTAACCTGTCTAAGAACTCCAGAGCAGACTTGACCCGTAGGCTCAAGTCAGTGGCTCTCTCTGGAAGTTAGAGAACTGCTCTTTGTTGCTGGAGGGATTTTGCTATCAGTAGAGCTGGCAAGGCTGGATTTTGGGGGTGTGCCAGACCTCACAGTGCCCTTTCATCCCTTTTAACAGCCTGGCTGGGGAGGTTAGACAATGGATCTTCAGCGGACCTTGTCTTGAGTTTTTGGTTTGCAGTGGCCGTGCTGAACTGAAAAGGTTAGAAAGTAGTTGTGTGTTTGAGGGAGGGAATGCTTCTCAAAAAATATTTTTTTTCTTTTATCCCACAGCACTGTGCTCACCGAATTCCTTCTTTTTTCAGCATCCAGGTGGAGAGGAAGTTTTGCTTGAGCAGGCTGGGAGAGATGCCACAGAGAGCTTTGAGGATGTTGGACATTCGATAGATGCCAGGGAAATGCTCAAGCAGTACTACATAGGAGAGGTTCACCCGGTAAGGAGGAACTGGTTGTGATGTCCTTCTTTCCAAGTACACTCTGTGTGTGTGTGTGTGTGTGTGTGTGTGTGTGTGTGTGTGTGTGTGTGTGTGAGTGAATGCAGTACTGACTGTAGAGCTCCTTACATAACCCAGCAGGCAGTTTCATCAAGGTCTGTTATCACAGTGATGAGTTGTGTACTACTTTTCCCCAGCAAAAGAGATCATATGATGTAACAGAGGGTACTTAAAATTAAAAGCTGAACCAATCCTTTCTCTTCCATCATCCAGAAATGACTTTTGGCTGCAGTTCAGTCCATGGTATTAAAAAAGTCCCTCTGGGCTGATTTAGCACCCTGAACTTTTCCTTACAATGTGAGTCAGGATGTTAAGGTGGTGTGGGATAGCTGGTAACATACCTCTGCCCTCAGCCTGATTTGATTTTTAGGAGGTTAAAGCCAGCACTTTTCAGGTGCTGAAGGCTTGGTTACATGAGAGATGAAGTCAAAATAATCCAAGCAGTGGCTCAAGCGGTGTCGGCTGTGTGCATGCTGATTCTCCCCTGGTGACTGAAAACTTCTTTCCAAAAGGTTAAATTACAGTGTTTACTCTTTTCTCTTCTTCCCCTTCCCAACAGTGTGACCATAAAAATGAAGGCTCTAAGGTAAGATCTCAGTGTTCATTTGTTTTGTTTTCTTTGTTTCTTTTCCTGCTTAAACCTAATGTGGAGGGGCCTGTGCTATGTTCAGTTAGCAGATGTTCCATTTTCACACTATGTGGCATTAGGCTGCTTTTGTTTTTAACCTAGGCGAGAAATGTTATGTCAAGAACAGAGGTTGGGTGGTTTGGTGAAGACCTCTGGAAAGAGCGTGGCGAAAATAGAGTAACAACCTGAACCTGACAGCCTGATCCTCAGTGGAAGTAGGGGCTCTCTGCAGTGCTGGTACCAGTAGGAAGTGAAACTGGTCTCTGTGTTCTTTTGGGGTGGGTGTTGGTGGTATTCTCACCTTTTATTCCCCAGACCATTTTTGCACTTTTATCAAGAGCCAGTGCGTTGGCCTTGGTGTCCTGCCACAGTCCAACTCTAGCAACTGGAGCTAACAGAATTCCCTTGAAATGGTAAGGGAGACAGGATCTATCTTCTTTTCCCATCCTGGGATCTTCTGTAATGTTGCTATGCCTGTCCAGGCAATGTAGCTGCCACCTTCCAGCCAGGGTTAGCTGTGCTACATTGGCAGGGAAAGTGATTCTTGCATATGATGAGCTGCTAGACAGAAATTCCAGCGTTTAGAACAGAAATGAAACTACCAGGGATGTCCTAACCCCTCTTCCTTCAGAGTAATGCAGATTCCTCTGGATTTGTTTTGTGAATCCAGTACATAGAGCAGGCAGACTGAACATGGGGGAGACTTGCAGGGTCAGCACACCTCAGGAGTTCTGCAGCAGACAGCCCAGGTGGATGTAACGTTCTGTACTGTGGCCCAAACTGCAGAGCAAGTGGAATGAGTTTTGGTAAAGGTGAGGCATGTTTAATTCTGATCTGGGCACAGAAGTTCTTGCCTGGGGCATAGAGAGGAGCTGCTTGCTGTCTTGCAATCCTGGCTGTGAGAGGCGCTAGTCTCTCCTTCTATATTGTTCTACTTCACCAAACAATTCAGTCATTCAGAGGGAGAAGATTAGAATAATTGTTCAAACACGAGTTCTGAGCATTATGTGCGTTATCTGTGTATTGTCCTTTTTTTTTTAATCCCCATTCCCCTGCTTGTGTCAATATGGATTTGGAGTGAGCATGATGTCCTAGTTAAGTTTATTGAACTTGTCCTAAGAACATCACCTTTGATTGCAAACATGATGTGCAGGGAGGTGCCCTAGTAACCCAAAAGATGTTCCCCCAGAAGTCAGGAAAGCCTTAATTGCCCTGTATTAGCAGCCCTTGAAAGGACTTGCGCAGACCATATTAATGTCTGGAGAGGCCAGAATAATGCTACATCATTAGGTTAAAGACCTTCAGATGTGGAAACCAATTGCGCCTGTTACACAGTCCACTGCAGACCCCTCAGAGGTACAGTGTCTTATGGTAGCCCAGCAGGTGCACATGTGGGGAGATCCCTGCAGGATCAGCTGTTTGCATGTTGGTGGCTGGCAAGCTGGAGGGGGGTGCCATGCATTAATACTGTTGTTTGCAAATGCAGGCATATAGTGGTAGGTATTTACCTTGCTTCCTGGCCTAGAAACCTAATTCTGTGATAGTTCATTCTAAGTACAGGACAATATCACTGATATCTGTAGTACAAATGACACAGCGATTGAGTATTTCCCCTTAATCTCTCATGTGTTTCTAAGGTGCCTGTCACCTCAGTATGTCATACGTTGTATTTTAACCCCTTGAGTAACATTTGGGTAACTAGTGTTATCTGACTGGCCTCTTGAATATGACTGGAATCTACTGGTCCTCTGCAGAAAAGGAAAGGGAGCCTCTCCATCCTAATTTCCCCTCTGCTGGGCCTAGGTTCACATCTTTGCTCACTGCTGATTCAGTGTGTAGCAGAAAGCCCTCTTTTCCTCTTGCCTGCATTTGCTCTCCCCTCTTTGGATATGTTTCTCTTTTTCTACCTATTCTTCCTTCCTCTCTCTTTCACTTTAAGATAAGAAATTGTGTTTTAAAATTTGTATGTGTGCATTTTGTATCTCCCCTTGTAGTTTGGTATTTTTATCTATTTGTGTGCCATGGCATTTGTAGCTTATATTTTATACTCCTCACCTTTCAACTTTCAACTGAATGTGTTTAGTTTCATAAGTAAGTTATACATTGTAACAATGTTAACAAGGGCAGGAATCAAACTGCCCTTCCCTGTATCAGGCTGGCCTCTGAAAGAGCGAGTGAATCAGTGATTGAATGTGTAACATGGAAGCAGGCAGCAATTATCACCTGGAAGCTGCAGACCAGCCAACGGAAGAACTCAATAGAAGACAACGTAACAACCAGGAAATCTCTAAACCTCACTGATCAAGGGCTAGAAGCCCTGGCCTGAGTTAACGCCAGAGACCAACTTTTGGGCTGAATATCTCCAGATCGACCACTCCCAAAGACAGATGCTGTCCAGTAGCCACCGAGGGGGGGGGAGTCCCACGAGGGTCAATGACCCCTGGATTGGGCAAACCTGAAAACAGGGGAGTCACCAAAGTCTGCCAGGGACAAATAAAAAGCAGTGAAAAGTGACCCTCAGTGGCGCCCTCTTGATCTCCAACTCGACCAGACCTGTCCAGCCAGAAGGACCAGCCGGCGACCCCCTTCTGGAGGATAACACCACGCTGAAAGAAGCCTCGACTGGCCATCGACGGCAGACTCCAGCGCTTGTAGGATAGGTATACCTGACTCTGTAGCCTGCTACTGTGTGTGTGTGTGTGTGTGTGTGTGTGTGTGTGTATATGTGTGCGTGTGTGTGTGTGGGGACCAGCCCAAGGTTTATGATTACAGTGTTTCAATCCGCCTAATAAACTAGAATTTTAAGGATCCCGAGTTGGACATTTGTAGCCAACAAGTGCTGGCTTCATCACTTTAGCTATGTGCTTGGGAAAGGGCTCTTCTTGTGCGTCTGGAGAAGTGATAAAATCCTCCACTTACAACTCAAGCAGTGGAGAAATGCAGTGGAGTGCCAAGCGGTGCTCCCACTCTGCCCGTTCCTTTATTAGATGCCTCTTAGCCTAGCCCAAGATGAGCGCAAGATATACAAAGTCTGTTCGCAGGCCTTGACCAGCTCCTTCAAATGGTGGCATCAAAAAGGGCTGATGGAGCTTCTTTATTGTTCCCATTTAGCATTCTCATAGCTAGAGTCTTCTTTTGAGAACTTGGTTATCCCCTACAGATGTGCAGCACATGCTGACATGTAGTGTGCTCTGGCACACTAACTAGAAGAGATTATGGTGTTTGGATAAGAGTTTAGGTCTTCTTTTGGAGGACTATTAAAAGGAGACTGAAAAAAGCAAGCTGTGGTGCCAGAAGAGGAATAACACCAGAGATTCTGTGGTGTGCTTAGGTATCTAGAGCCTAAAAATCCCCTTCTTCACTTAATGTGGAATAGGACAAGCTGTTGAAGACTGCTTTTCCCCTACCTCAGCACAACTTTCACTCTGGTAACTGATTTATTTATGTCTTGAGGCCTCGTGTATTCTGTCTTGAGGGCTGTGGGTCTCTAGTGCTGCTCTCTTAGACTTCAGTTTCTTTCTCCTAGTCACCGTTTGTGGAGGGAAGCATACCTGAAGGATGGCTGGGTTGAACAGGGAGCCCTACATGCACAGTTTGTGCTCTAGTCACATTGTGTAGCTCAGACAGGTTTTTAGTGCATTGGGGAGCTGGCAATTCCATGCTCAAGACAGTAATTTTCTCTGACATCAGCTTCATGCCTGAACTTTGGGGAAGTCCTCCAAGAGCACTTGAGCCTCCATTTAAGTACAGCTGTTGCTCTTGGTTGCACTGGTATGTGATCTCATCCTCTGATGTTTAGTAAATGTCCTGGAGACTGCTCTCTGGCACAGATCTTGGTCCAGATGTGACCAGGCCCCTTTAGTTTGGGTGAGTGTCAACACGCAGCTCTCTTGATCACTGCTGTTCCTTTTCCTTCATACTGGGTGGTTCTGCATTTGGAGCTGGCATATTTATGCAGCTCTTCAGTTCAGAGGTGGTGCCAGGTAAGAGTGCTGGAAGGAATGGGAATGGAAAAGGGCAGAGGTGATGCATAGGGGGTGCATGTGCACCCTCTGCACATGGTGGTTCACCCCCTACAAAAAGGTACTGCTGACACTGTTGGCAGCGCCTGTGGGCGGTCACCTCCTGACACCCCACCGGCGGCTGCCAGCAGTGTCTGCGGGAAGTCCACAATCCCTGCTGGCTGCCACTGC